TTTAATTAGACTTCCAGAGATTTATGTGTCACTGTTGCATTGGATTGTTTTTCTCTAGGTCCCTATGACAAATCCTACCCATCGCCCAGTTTTGTCAATCCAATCCCCTGGAAGCCAATCCATGTCCCTCCTCCAGAACCATCCTCCCTCGAGACATCAAGCAAGAAACCTCTGAAACAGAGAAAAAGTCAACAGAGCCTCAGCAACACGTTTAGGCTGAGAAACACTCAGAGTCCAGCACATTTGCAGCAGAAGAGATGACACAGCAGGTTGACGTGTATGACTGTGATGCGGCAGCTTAGTTACGGGCTTAACTGTGATTTCTGCACCACCACAGCTTCTGGGCCAAGACTCTGCTGAGTCACACAAGGATTTTTGTTCTCTTAAGGTGGTTGTGGTGAAGACGTATTTGGTTTATGTTTTTTTTTTTTTAATTAATGGAATTATTCAAATTTTGATATGATGTTCGTGTGACTAGATATTTAAAAGTCCAGAAAACAATTTTCTGTAGATGTACTGCAATACATTTTTTTATTTGGATAAATGTGGCACAGTCAAAGATCTGTTTCGGTCTCATTCATTCTGTGGTCAACAAAACCACGTTTCATTGCACTGAACAAATAAGGCACCACCCGCATGACAGAAAGAAGGTGGCTGGTGGTCACAGCCAAAGATAGACCCAGCTTGGTCAAGTGCCCCTCACACTTCACACATTGTTCTGTGTCCAGCTGTGCCTTGTTCTTCTGTGGGCTGAGATGACGACAGAATGTAGTGAGGGGGTGGAAAGAGAGAGAGAGAGAGAGAGATAGATTCAGAGCAGTATGCTCAGTCTGTGTTAGCATCTCACTGTGATGCCAATGTGTGAAGCCTGAGGTAAAATGATTTAAATTATGCTTTTCTGGTGTATTTTTGTGTAGTTTCTTCTTGTTCATTTTGTGGTTAACTCTTTACAGTTTCCTGATTGCTCTGGAATGTGCTAGCTGGTTGTAATCAGGGAGAAGAGCTTATGTTTTCTTTAATTGTTAATCATTGTGGGGTGGGCAGCTGTTAAAACAAAGATGTAACGTGATTACATTTTGTCGTGAGTAGTTTTATTGGGTGTAAGGGTGTAGGCTGTTTGCTCTAAGGTATTTGAAGCCTTGTAAATAAAACCTTTCTCCACATGAAAGGTTAGTCACAGGGACACAGAAATTTGAGAAAAAAGTGCTTTATTTTATCCTTGGAAGAAAAAGTCAAACAGTAATGTTACAACTTAAAAAGTAAGAAGCAACATGAGATAAAATAACATCAATGCTCAAATCAATCCAAGCAACCAAAACTGATCAGATGAGAAGGAAAGGGGATCTTAAATACCTGCTGATCGGACCAATTTTAGACACAAGGGAACAAAGCTAATCAACTAATATTAGAGAAGCAAAATCAAGCTTTAATTTAATTGTTACTCTAACCTAACAGTAATTAAAAGAACAACTAAATACCTTACTGAGGAGACACAGAAAATAAATGCATTTAACATAAATGACTCCAGCTATCTTCCTATGATCTTGGAATACGTGGTATCTCCCAATCAGCACTTTCTGTATTCTGTATAGTGATGCATTCAAAGACACCTCTTTTGCTCGTTATATGCTGGCAGACCATATCATTGCTTGGAGAACCCAGCACTGCAAAACCAGAGAAATTATTAGAAATTAAAGTAAATCCAACAAATTTAACATACACTCTCAGTGAACTTTATTAGGTATATTTGCTAGTACTGGATTGGAGCTCATTTTGCCCCCAGAACTGCATTAATTGTTCAAATGTCCCTTTCCACCACATCCTAAAGGTGTTCTTCTGGATTGACATCTGTTGACTGTGAAGGCCATTTGAATATAGTGAATTCACCGTCATGTTCAAGAATCCAGTTTAAAATGATTTTGCCTGGTGCATTACCCTGCTGGAAGACGTCACCATAAGAGCACTCAGACCAGCCTGTATTGGACCAATAATCATACCACATTCAAAGTCACTTAAATCACCGTTCTGGCCTATTCTGATGCTCAGTTTGCACTTCCGCAGGTTATCTTGACCATGACCACATGCTTAAATACTGATTTTTATAGTTGCATGGCTGCAAGTGTAGCAGTCACACCCTCTTAAAATGGGAAGTCTGCACTCAGAGTGAACCTTCAACACTTTTGTTCACTCCTATAATTTACGGTAAGTTCTAGCTACTCATTTTAGCTCGACCTTTAAGAGCTTTTGGTAATGAATGATTGCTGTCTGGCTCTTTCAGGTATTGAGTCCTGTTAAACATACAAAGAAAATCCATATCCCAAGATGCAGTGGTGCAGGTGGGCTGGCAGTTGGAAATCACAACTTCCAACACAGGTAGGAGGCGTGTCTTATACTGCCTCAGAAGTAAACTGAGTGGCGCAGGGGTGTAGCAAGCACACAGAGTGACAGTCTAAAGGGCAGAAGGACAGAATCTACTTGTGTTTCAAGAATGTGACTACTGGTGTAATGTAGATATGGAAACCAACTCCTGATGAAGAAACAGCTTTTGGATTCTGACTAGTCTGTCTCAAGGAATATTGATTTTTATCCCTGCTATGGAATACCTGAGCTGATTGTGTAATCTTTTCTGATTGTTGAACAAAGGTTAAAGAATGGGTTTAAGATAGCAGAAGAAAAAAGCAAGCTGCTTCACTAGATTTGACAGATTAGATTTGACAGAACCTTTACTTTTTATTGAGCTCTGGATGGATCTTTCACCAGGGATCAAACTGTCTGTGTTACTTCTGCCAGTAGACAATTGATTTTTCCCTTTCTTTCTCAAGGATGTGACTGCTGTTTGTGTAAATATTCTAAGTTCTTATTGACACAACTTGGAAGGGACCGGTTCATTTGCACTGAGGCCCAAAGGTATTGGGTCTCGTCTTACAGCGATAGTGTTTTCTCCCTCTCTCTCTGTTCCTCTTGTCACCATGCAGACTGCTGGGCCAGAGATTGAAGACTCTTTTGACTTTCTTTTTAAAATCATCTTGGTTGGTGACTCAGATGTTGGGAAGACCTGCGTGGTGCAAAGCTTCAAATCTGGCATCTTCATCGAAAAGCAACAAAACACCATTGGTGTTGACTTTACTGTTCGTACCCTGGACATTGATGGCAAGAAGGTGAAGGTAGATGACTTTTATTTTAAGCACTTGCATCACAGCTGATAGTGCAGTCCTGTCCACATATTTAGGTGTGTGCAATTTATGAGATCCGTGCGGGTGCACTCGTGTCTTAAAGTAAAGAATTCCTTTTGTTTTAGTTCTTCAGAGAAAGGGGAGGGGCTGACAAGCTGTCTGTAGTATCCTCAGTGTTTCTGTTAGCTTTCTGGGTGTGTTGATTTATTAGCTGCTAGTTTATAATTCTGCTTAGACATTTGCAGACATTTGTTCAGAAACAACTGCAAACAGCAGACAAACCTGACATCATACTTGAATAACTTAAGAGTTGTACGCTGTTGATCCTTAACCTATTCTGTATAACCGGTTAACCCATATTTGTGTTATCTGTGTTTTGCAGATGCAGGTGTGGGACACTGCGGGACAGGAGCGTTTCCGCACCATAACTCAAAGCTACTACCGCAGCGCCCATGGGGCGATGGTGGCCTATGACATCACTCGACGCAGCACATTTGAATCGGTTCCACACTGGATCAGGGAAGTGGAGCTGTACGGAGCTGCCAGTGTGGTGCTGATACTCATTGGTATGTAAACTGTCTGCACAGAGCAGAATATATTTTTGAGTTGTAGATATTGTCACAAAAACATGTTACAAAATCAATTCAAACAACAAGACAAAAGTCACTTGCAAAGTCATTAGCAGATCCGTAGATTGTGCTAATAAAGGGATGAACATGGTCACCAAAAAGACTGAAGTAGACTGTGTTGTTTAACAATGTGTTAACAATATGTGCCAAGAAAATATCCCAAACAATGTCACACCAGCAGCTTTAGCTGTTGATACAAGGCAGGATAAATCCATATTTTCATGATTAGATCAAATCCTGATCTCACTAACTGAATGCAGTATTGTTGTATTAATTTGCAATAGGTCAATGACATGAAAGAGCATGCCAGTGAGGGAGAGTATTTTTATGTAGAGTTTAGATATTCTTCTTGTGTCTCTGTAGGTAGTGTATCGTGTAACGTCCACCTACAGACCAAAGACATATGCATAATGTGCTAAAACAGCGATTCCGGTGTGTGACTGTTGTCTGTATTAACCCTAAAAAAATGTATCTTATAGTTAAAGTCTACTAAGTTTGTTGGGAAAGACGTAATTCCAAAAAGTCAGAAACATGCCCCATGTTTTTGACGGGTAAAGTTTAAATGTGATCTGAAGACTTGGTTTGGTTGTAGTAAGTGTTGCACTAAAAGAATAATTGAACTGAAAATGATACAAATCATAGCTGCAAATATCTGCTTCACTTCTGTTTTTACCAACTCTGGTTCTGTTCACCACTGCAGGTAATAAGTCAGATCTCCACACTAAGAGACAGGTGCTCTTCGAGGATGCTTGCAATCTGGCAGAAGACAGTGGTGTGCTGGCTGCTCTGGAAACCTCAGCCAAGGAGGCCCAGAACATAGAGGCCGCCTTCATACTTATGGCTCGAGAACTAATGGCACGCAATGGTATGACCATCATAAACGAGTCCTCTGAAAACTCTCCTCAGTTCATGCTGAGTAACAACTCTCACCCGGTTCCTAGTGCCGTGGTTACAGATAAAAAGTGTGGGTGCCGAGAAGGCTGAAGCAGGGAGTCACTCGAAGAGTGGGAATGGAGGCCTGAATACTCAATTTACCTGTTTCTCTACCAGAGAATGGGATGTTATTTAAAGAGAAACTGTGTGTTGCAACGTGTGTGTGAATACTGGTTTTGTATGTTTTGACTTTTTAATATTTAACATGTTGTAATATTATTCTAAGGATAATGAATGTGATGACAAACCACTCCTCTGCCAGAGGACTCTGTACACAGACTCCAGCACAGTAAACACTACAGTTTTACATGTAGCCTTGTGTCATTTTAATCCCCTTTTTTTAAAGGTTCTTTCACATCATATGGCTTTTGAAGTACAATGCCACAGGTTTAAGTCACCTGCAAATCACACATTGTTAAACCAGTTACAAATGTAAAAACTGTATTTTCAGTGGCGCTGTAACTATAACTGCAGTCTTCTAACAGACATTCACTATTCATTATGTGAAAAACCCTACTGTTAAATTCCACCAACTTCAGAAAATAAGACTAGTTTTTTTCAAAATAAAATTTAACATGCTGCTGGCTAAAGTAAAAAAAATGATGTAATACACTCATAGCTGGCAACTTAAATAGAGCTTATAAATTCATGTTTAAAAAATAATAATTAGGTAAAATATGACAGCAGTAAAAACAAATTAGGACCTACAGGGGTGTCTTTTTTTTGACTGTGCAAATGCCTGAAATAGTAATGTCACAAAACTGTGTCTTTGTACAGCTCTTTCTGAATCAGTCTAAACTTGCTGGAAAGATGTAACTGTGGAGGAATTCCACCTGAAATCCACTCATGAGCTTACCAATACTTAAAGTACTAAAATGTGTAATTCAACAACTTAATGTATGTACTCAAAAACCTGAATTCCTTGACTCAGAAACAGTGATGTCTATTATTGAAAACTTAAACTTTTTAAAAAGAATTCAGCAGTGGTCTGATGCACTATTATGGATGACTGATTTAAAATGCAACTTCTATGTATTTGATATTATTCCTTTTCACAGCTGACTCTATGGCTCGTTATAACATAGTAACACCTACTTCTCCCCTGTAATAATCAAGGGAATGGTTTGATAACCTGTTGCTAATGGTGAAAGATCAGACTATGAGATGGAGACCCCTACTGTAGTGGCCAGCCTTCCTGCTTAAATACCAACTCAACCGCCTCCTTCACATCATGCACCACGAAGGACGGTTGAGTGAGGCTGGGATCGAAGCGGAAGTCTCTGTGACCATGGAAGATGCGTTGTTCTGTGACTGTTTTCGTTGGGTCTGAGAGCAGCTCCTGTTGGTCTTTGCTGTACACTCCTGTGCACACCAGGATTGAGCTACATCCCTCAGGGAGATCCCTTTCTACCACACCTGAAGCTCCACCTAGTTCTGCTGATGTCATTTTAGGGGTGTCATCAACAGCTGAGGGATCTATACTTCCACCAGCACTCTGAGCCTGCATCTGTGCCTTGGTGTGACGAGAAGACTGGAGGTAGCGATTGTAGAGGTTGGCGCCATATATGTCGGCCATGGGATTATCACTATAAAAAAAAAAAAAAAGGACTCAGTTCAAATTATTTTTTAAACTGAATTTCTAAGTGTTAAATGTAGACTGAAAAACTCACCCTATAGCATACACCCTCTTCACAGGCGTGTTCCAGCCAAGTCTTTCAGCCTGTTGTCTAATCAGCAGCTCAGCGTAGTTATAAGTCACCACACTGGGCTTCCCAATCAGAGCCTCGTACTTGAGTTCGTATCCTGTGACCTTCTTGTACAGAGACTCTAAGCACACCAGGAACATACCATGACCAAACCTGTGATGCAAGGAACAGGAAATACAGTATTGTGAGAAAGTTTCTGTTTTGTTCCCTTTCTTAGGTTTTTGCACATTTGTCATATTTGTGACTTTAACGTTACAGATCGAACTAATTTTAATATTGGGCATAACCTGAGTAAATACAAAATGCAGTTTTTAAATTATTTCATTTATTAAGGGAAAAGCTATCAAAGCCAACTTGGTCCAATATAAAAAAACCTAAACCTAATAACTGGTTGTGACACACTTGGCAAGCAAGCATTTGTGGAGGAGCTTTGTGCCACTCCTCTTTAAATAATTGTTTTAATTCAGGCACATCAGAGGGTTTTCAAGGATGAACTGCCCGTTTAAGTTCAGATGCCAAAGAATCTTAATTGGAATTAAGTCTGGACTTTGAATAGACCACTCCATGATCTTCATTTTGTTTTGTTTTTTAGCCATTCAGAGGCGCACTTGCTGGTGTGTTTTGGATCATTGTCCTGCTGGACGTCCTTTAGATGTTGTTCTGGGTTCTTTTGTGACCTGCTGGATAGGTGATGCACTCCTGGGATCATTTTGGTACGCCGGGCACTCTTGGGAAGGTTCACCTGTGTTCCACGTTTTCTCTCATAGCTTTCACTATGATTTGCCTTTGTACCCCTTTCTAGACTGATAATGTCAATGACTTTGTTTCTTAGTGGTTTCTTCAGAGTGTGGCATGATGTGTTGCTTTCTTGAATAATTTTGCCTAATTCACTTAACTTCTATTGAAGAGGTTTCTTTATTCAACAGGTTTCTCAGTAATCAGGCCACTGTGGCTGGTGAAGTTGAACTCAGCTCTCAAATGTGGTTACTCAAAAGTAATTCATGATTTAATGAGAGATCGATCACTTTTTCACACAGGGCCAGGTAGGTTTTGACAATAGTGCTTTTCCATGGCACTGTATAACAAGAATACTGTAAAATTTGAAGGTTGTAATATTTCAGACTGTGGTGTTGATGTGTACCGGGGATTCCAGGCCTCTGCCATCCACAGCAGGTCCATGTTACATGCCAGGACGGGGATGTGAGGATAATGCGCTGAACTCCAAGTGCTGCCTGGGTTCCCACCAGTTAGCAGCACGTCAACAATAAGCTGGAGGTTGGTCTCCCATCTAATAGGCTCACCAAATAAAACAACAGCTGTAGGACCAAATAAAAACAAAACATACAATTAGGCCACATTACCAGAAAATCATTAATTCTCAGGGATTATGTAATGACTGCGCAAAGGAAACATACCATCTATTGGCCGTAAACCTTTAGTGGGCGGCACCTGAAGGACATTGTGCAAAGTTGGCAAGACGTGTAACTGAACTGAACATAAATGGATTAAACAGTATTACTTACAACATCTTTGGGTCTTCTATTGTGATCCACAACATCTAGGACTGGGTACGCTTCTCTGAGCACATCTATAGTAACAACATCCTGAAAGCCCAGGCTGAAGTTTGGCGAGTTAAAGTCAAACCGGTTGAGCAGGAATTACAAGCTGGAAATATGTAGAAAATCTTAACAGTGTTTTGGGTATTTGGTGTTTTTTTTGTAACATGTTTTCCAATGTTTAATTTACTGCATTTCTTTATATTTCAAATAACAATGTTTGACTTGAATTAAAAACAAAATCCCACTAACTCAAAAAAACCTGTTGAAGGGCTTCACAGAGACTGTCAAGCAGTAAAGGGAACAAAGGGTGAAACGATTAAACACTGATAACAAAGTGGAGCATGGAGAAAAACAAGTGAATAAACAGAACATTCAGCTTTAAAGGTCAACATCCAGAGTGCAGGCACCAGATTACCCGAGTTATTGCAGGATACTTATGAGCGACTTCCTCTACTGGACCCTGTCCGGAGACCAGCACACGCATTTTGTGGAACTGGGTAAACATTCGCAAAGGACTATGGGATAGCATCACCTGGTCTGGAGACACCTGAGATAAAGGGAGTCTAGAATAAATGGCTGATATCAAAGAATATTAAAAACAAAATACACGAGACAAAGCAAACTGATAATGTTTTAAAAGGCTCTCAATTTACCTCCACCTCAAGCAGATGTGACAGATGTTCCGCTTTTGTCTGCCTCATGCAGTTCCCAGCATTAGTGACAAACACCACAGGGACCTTGTATTTTCCGCTGCGGTCCACCAGGTTTTTGAAGCACTGCTTGGCTGCAGGGATCGGAGTCTTGCCTCTCACCAGCACCCCGTCAATGTCAAAGAGGAGCCCGAAGGAGCTGCTTGCCTGAGGAGGGAGCAGGCGACAGAGTGGGGACATGTGTAGTATGACAACATAAGGTTACTCATTAACTGATACTGCATTCTGAGCAGTCTTTGAGAGCTCATCGCTGCAGGCACACTGAACTGAGTGAGACTTTGATCCCACTGCAGCTTCTATGAGCTATGCAGCATAGTTTTATTAAAGTTAGTGATTGAACACTGATGAATAGATACTAAAATAATCTATACTGTACTATATACTATAGTATACTAAAAATACAATGATCAATATGTGCAGTGAGTAGCCTCAGCATGCTCTCCTGCTGGGACATTCAGTCTCTGGCCTTTTGCTCCACCATCTTGTAAGTTTCTACATATTTATAATAATTGCTCTGAGATTTTAGCTTATTATATTAAATAGTTTCCTAGATATTGTTTAAGAAAGAGCCCATCCACTCACTTTTTTCACACACTGAAATCTAAGGAAATATTCAAATATAAATATCTCAAAGTTCTTTCACATTTCTTACCATAAAATTTATTGAGGATCTGCGTTTGACAAATAAAAATATGAAAAACATTCATGCATTCCTTATAAGTCCCTTACAAGTTTGGTGTGCATTGTAAACATAAAAAATTACTTTATAAAAATGTAAAATGTGGCACATTTGTCCTCTGGCCTCTCCTTCAAGGTCAAACAACATCAAACATTCAGTCTTTTATCTTCAAAATTATGTTTAGAATTCTACTGCCATTGTTTGTATTGGCAACATTTAGGAAATGATATTGGTATATGGGGACTAAAAATAATATAGTCTGCATCCAAATGATGTTATATTTGACCTCTGACCTCAAGCTTTCTTTGTGGAGTTGACTCCAAAATGTATTATATCGTTAAAGAAAGTATTATCAAGAAAAAAGAGCTGCAAGTCAGTACCTATTATCCATTACCCACTCCTACATAATATTTGTATAATCAAATTAAACATCTGTAATCCTACCTTTACCTAATTTTTACTGCACTACAAACTTCTTAAAATAATTAAAAAAAAAAAAACAAACAAACAAAGAAAACAAAATTCATACATACAAAATGTAATACTTCCCTTAATAGCGGGTAGCCTTGGTGGAGGTTTGCACTCTGAGTGCTTCTTCTTGTAAAATACAACTACGTCATTCAGAAATTGTGAGTCCTCTTTCCAATGTGATT